ACTCATCATGCTCGTGCTGGTATATGGCAAAAAAGCATGGACAATACCAACAACCGATGAGGCGGCTGTTGGTGTGTTCGAGAGAAAAATCCTGCGAAATATTTACGGGCCTTTGCGAGTCGGCAATGGCTAATACGGCAGACGATGGAACGTAGGAGCTTTACAACGACACAGACAAATGCAGCGCCGCTTGGGCATGTCTCTGAAAGTTTTCAACGTGGATCCCGCAGTAGCAAAGGAAGAGAAAAACCTTCTTTGTGATGGAAAGACCTAATGGAGAAGAACTTGATTTCACTTGGCATTTCCAATTGGTTGCTTTTTTGGCCTACGCCGTTTCAGCGCCAAACGAGAAGAACAAATTCCATTAACTACATTTTTATGAGTTTGAATAATTGCATTTTTTTAAGCTTCTTTCTATTTGGGGCTTACATATGACCGTAAATTTAGATGATGATGAAATTATATTCACCTAAAATAGAAACGAATTGGCCATAAATTCAAAATGGGGAAAGTCTTCTAGACAAAATAGACAGAAACAATTACCTTCAAATTAAAACATATGCGAAAAAAAAAAATTGTGCCGACGTCAAAACAATGGACAAGCGTTTTTCACCTGACTTTTCCTGCCACGAAATTTATTTTTAATTATAATTTCGTTAGTTGTTGAACGTTCAAGATGTGAACAAGCCTGTGCATTTTAAGCAACATTTTCGACGACAACACCTTCTGCATACTTATATATGTATGTATATATGTATATACATTAGAGTGCGTCACCAAACAAAAAAAAAAGTTGCGGTTTTCCACTGGACTTTAAAAATGCATCACACGCCTAACAAAAAGGCGGTACTATAAAATCGAAAATATAGAATTTATTTCCAAATATTTCGAAAAACTATTAAGATTTACGTGAGCTAGACCGATTTTAAACTCTTCTATCATCTGAGGCGATTTTTTAGAAAAAATATATATTTTTAAAAACTAATTTTATTTATAAAAAAACAATAAATTTTTTAAGGTATTTTCATATCGGTCCAGCTTACGTAAACCTTAATATTTGTCCGAAATAATTTGGCGCAGGTCTTAATATATAATAAATTTTATATTTCCGATGAAAAAAATAACCGTTTTTTTATGAAGAGTGATTCACCCTAATGTACGTACACCTGCATCTACGATTGTATGTTGGGTGTCAGTTGGTAATGAAATGGGAATTCAACTTAGCTCTATCGGCCCGTATTTCAAAGATGCTTTTATAAAAATTACTAAATGATCTTGAAATAAATTTAATTTTGCGCCAAACGGAATACTATCGATAACCAGGTGGCATATTTCATTGCGCTTCTAATTACTTTTTAAAAGTATATGCGTTTACCATAAATAATAAGCCTCTGCAGCGTGGCATTTCATTTAAGGAACGCTTCAACTTTTAAAGGAATAATAAAAACAAAAAATAGTCAAAAAGAGTGTGCGTATTTCAGTTCTACTATTTATAGGCACACAGTGTTTCGATACTGTTTCTTGGCCAGGCCAAATGTGCTACGACTAAAACAGCGTGACTTTTTTTTGTTGTTATATGTACTAATAGCCTATTAGATATTGCGTGGCGGGCGTGTGTTTGCCGCCCTGCTTGTGTGTCAACATGCGACATCACGAGACAGCAGTCCCCAGCACTCCACTGCAATAGAGCAAACACACCCAACTTTATGGTGAGGAGTAGGCCGACCGTTTGAGTGCTACAACAAACTACAAAGCAACCACACACACACATACATGAATTTTAAATACTTTCTATTTTTAATCGTACAAAATGTGTTTTAGGGGTCTAAATGATGCCTTTCGAAAATGGTCAAAAGTTCAATGAACGAATAGTTTATATGTCAACCAACAACATGTTTTGTGGAGATAAAACAAAATATCGAGGAAATGAGGTTTTGATTTGGAAGCAAATAGCTACAATTTTGTTTTGAAAAACTCTAAACAAATATTCTGGTCACTAGTTTGTTGCATTAGATCTGAATCTAACTTAAGAAAGTCAAACAAAAACAAGAAGAGAAGTTTACGTTCGGGCGAAACCCAACTTACTATAACGTTTCTCAAAACTACGTGATAAGCAGCGGTGTTTTGACTGTCAAAATTGTGTACACTTCTCTTCCGAAAAACTCAGTTTAATGTGTTTTTCCATTTCTCATAAGCTTTACGGATAGAAACTATTCATAGCAGACAATCTTTTAGAATAAATATTTTTTCTCTATATTGGAACAAAACTTATGGCGCTATTAAATTTAAGCAACATTGCATTACTTAAAAATTAATAAAAGGCGCAAAACAAAAATTCATTATGGCTTTTACGTTGGAACAATTGTATAAACATACAGACTTTATACCTAGATTATTATTTATATGGGAATGAAGGAAAATAATATAAACATTTATTTGCCCAACCATATGTACTACATTACGAGAATGTGCCAAATAAATGTACAGCAGATGCAAAAGATGTATGAAATTTTAAGTGAATTTCTTTAGCCATTTCCATTAATAGCTTTAGTTAGTTGTACTTGATGATTCAGTTGTGCTTAATGTGGCAAACACATAACTAACTACATTGACTAAATACATACAAAATGTACATATGTACAAATATTCATATAATACATAATCGCACTTGACATCGTCAATCATACGGCATAGACGCTTCGTTAAACAGTTGCTATTGTTTGATGAGGTGTGAAATATGTTAAGCCCGAGAATTTTAAATGTTGACTAATTTTGAGCAAAACATTCATACGAACGCAACATAGAAATACATACATAATGCAACTTTAGCAGCAATTATACAAACAATATAATCGCTTTGTGGGGATTAAGAAACACTAAGAGTTTTATAAATATATTGAGTTTGACAAATTTGTATTCTATTATTTTTGGGGGAAATTTTAAGTAGTCGAGTATATTTATACGCATAATATTTACGAAAATCAGCAATTGCAATCGAAAAAAGCTTGTGAAAAACAGATAGAGCTCTGACAGCAACAAGTGGAAACACAAATTGTTGCCTCGCTTAAAATTATTGCCTACAATTTGCGCTCTAATACCGCTGACCTCAACCATGAGGTGGATTTGAATTTAATTGGTTAATGTTTTAATGTTTAATAAGCAATCGGCTTAGAAATACATTCAATGTCAATAAAAAGAAAATATTATACTTGAAATTGTGCACATAATTTGCCAAGTGAATGTGTCATCGACTGTAGACAGAATGGCGCGTCGTAAGAAAGCACACCGAGAGATATGTATATGTAGAAACTATATAAAAAGCATATACATATATATATATATATATATATATATAGCGCCACTCAAATGCAAACATATAGTATGTTCATATGTACTTATGTAAATACAGAATTTCAAATGCTTGATTTCGATACAAAATATCGTATAATTTGCACGGCTAGACGACGGTAATCTTAGAAATTTGTACGTTTTGACACCTCACAGAGAAAATTTAAGTGAAAATAAATAATAATAAGTAGGCCATGCAGACTGCAAGCGCACATACATACATATATAGATCTATACAAACATACATAAATACCAAATTATACGAGTATCAGCAGATTAACTAAGCCAAATCTGCGTATAAGCAAGTGGGTCATTGCAGCCGTTCAACAACAGGTAATTAAAGCTAAACAGCTGCGTTGACTGAGACAGTCGATTGATGGACAGACAAACAAAACAAAGGTGGTGCTCGCGGAATGTGCGTCGCATCCCGCCTCGCCGACTGATCAACAAAAAATGCCTTGCCACGAATTGGCTAAAGCGCAAATTTACCAATTGGATTTGTTTTTGCATTGCACTTAATACCTATTTACATACACTTATATATATGTATATATACAAATAAGTAGATACATATCTAGTGCGAATGCTTATTGAGTTCCGCATCCTACGCAGCAGCCACAATTGCGAATGGCTACAGTTGGGAAATTACGACGCCATTGCAACGTAATTACCTAGGGAAATTACTTTTTCCTTTTAAACACATTTAACACAGTAAATTTACATTTGTGTATGTATGTCTGTGTATATGTACGCGTGTGCAAAGTGTTGAATTTTTCGTGTGGGAACTAATTAAATAAATTTCGCTCTTAATGATCAATTTCATTTAGGATTTTTTTTTTATTACAATTGAAAGGTATATAAAATGAAGGAATGAAAATTATCATAAATCACTTTAAAATTGATCCCAGAAAGTGTTTCATTTTCTACACAAATATTTTGAAAGCACCAAACCAGACAATTTTGCAAACTCATGGATTGCCGTCATCATAGACACATATGTACATCTTTTGAAATTTTTATTTTCTACAAAATAAGCCTTAACTCGAAAATGTCGAAGATAAGTGTCTTTCCAACCGGTTTTTTTTTTACTCGAGCTCTTCATGTACGATACAAGTAGTTGGTTGGTCTTCGATGCAGGCTTTTAGAGGCGAGAGTTGACGAACGTATTAATCGATTTTCGATTGATCCTGTTTAAGGCCTGTTTATGGCTAGCTAGCATTGACAGAACCTAGTTTTTTTTTTTTTTAAATTCGTGAGATGGCTTCTGATGCGCCTGGGAGAAGGCTCGCTCTCAAGCATGTGCCTGCATGGGTGGTTACTACGGTATTGCTTGCCCAGCATGATGTTATGCTTTTGGACCTCGCGGTGTAAAAGATGCTCAGGCGACATCAGAAGGTAATGTGGCGTTCTGACAATGTGAAGTTTCGCCCATTGCGTCTTATTAAACCCTGATGGGCACACAGGCGCTGTATAGTTTAAAATTGGCTGCCCAAATGCTTTGTATGTTTCTTTGCTTTTCCCCCAAGTGCTGTCGGTGAACAGTTTTAGGACTTTCATTTTGTTGCCGGTTGAGGTTGTGTGTACAGAGAGGAAGATCAAGATGTAAGTTTACAGATTATTTACGGTAAGAATTATTATTTCATCGACCCGTTTGCCCAAACTCAGTTCGACCTCCTTCGTGCAGGTGGTTAAAAAAGGTTTTTGTTGATTTCATAGAGAAAAGGGTCCGGTTCTGTGAAGTGAAGAAAGTTTGAATAACCATTCACTTTAAAATACCGGGCAAACACCTTGTTCAGTTCTTCTAAGTTTGGAGAATCGATCTCGAGCATTAAGCAACACAGAAATTTTGGTATTATATTGGCAATGATATCTATAAAGCATTTGGCGGTAACTAATCCACACTACTTTTACAAATTTGTCATATTGTTCAGATGTTATTTTCAATGGGAGAGCCACGAAATCCCCGAAAACAAAATCCCCAAACACAAAATCCCCAGTTACAAAAAATCCCCAAATATATTATCCACAAAATTAAAATCCCCAAACACGAAATCCCCAAATTTTTTTGGTGACAGTGTCACAAAATCCCCAAATTTTTGAATAAATGTTATTACCGATCGTATTGTTCTAATTCGTAGGTACATACACCCGGTTTACACGGTTCAAGTACTTGAAAGTAATTCTTGTTCATTATCTTTTGTGTTTTCTATTTGCTTTTACACGGTTAAATTCTTTTGAAAATTTGAAGATTTTGATTTTGGGGACATTGTGGTACACCCCTTTTCAATAAATCATTCTATAGGGGAAAATATATTATTGCGTAGGTCGTAAATTAGGCTATAAATTATAGGGCTGTTCCATACGCTTTCCGGGCTGTTTCGGCAATTAGAGAGTAAAAATAAGTAAAAAATTAGTCGAAACGTGCTAAAAGTGTCCAGAGCGTGAGGAACGCAAAAAACCACATTTCGTGCCCGGAATCAACAAATCAGCTCTAAAAAAGGATTTTGTGCGTATTTATCTTATATGGCGAATAAAATTAGCAAATACCTACATTTTTTTTTTTAACTTTAGTGGTATTTTCCATTTTATGTTTTATAAAATTAGCTTTTAGAAGTAAACATACAACAGCTGTTATGGCGATTTGAATTTGCACATTTTTGCTCGTAAAAAAAGTCCGGGCTGTTTCGGGCTCGAAGAAGAAGATATTTGCGATCCAAAAGTGGAACGTGTTCGCTCTCTATTACCCATTTTTCTAGCATGAGGAACGCTTTCTGGGCTGTTTTGGGCACCCGCGGGCTCGTGTGGAACAAACCTAATATAAACCTAAAAAATTGCATCCAAATTCTAATGAAATAACTGCTGACACATACTAAAAAATTATATTTCTACTGTCGACATATTTTCAAACTTTAAATTTTTCGCCCCAAATTCAATATAAATTTATTTTTGTACATAAATACAGACCTTTAAAATTTACACTTTACTGTACTGTTGTGAGGTACAGAAAACTTTTGTAACATCACTTTTCGTATAAGAATCGAAATTTTATCTCATTATAAAAGTTCATAAAAATTTTAGGTGATGATTATTTCTATAGTTGTTGTTGCTATTATTACTAATATTTTTGTACTACCAGCACGCAGTAGTATATCTCTATATATCTTTTAATATATATATATATATATAAGAATACATTTATATAAGTGCAGCACTCACCTCTTTCTCCTTATCTTTCTCTTCCGTATCGTTGGCCGAATCTTGTCGTTCTGGATCGAGATCCTTTAAAAGCAGAAAAGAAAGAGAATTTAAATTTATAGTTTGAAAAATATTTGCAACATGCATTGAATTCATAAATTACAGCTACTTAATCAAAGTCAGGCGCGTGTCAATGTATGCATATAAGTATATACGTAAATAGTATAACTGACGCCCAATGAATTTTCGAAATTAAAATTTACAATAAATTATAATAGCTACAGACACTAGCACTTGCAAAATTTATTGCGCTTTCAAATATCTATTTTTGAAAATCGTGTATGTATTTTAAAGGTTTGCTATGCCACAAATGGTAATTTAGGAATTCACGTACTATCTTTCAGTTTTGACATAATTTTATAACGTGTTTACATTAACTTGATTTAGCGCTGAAATTTGATGTAAGATATTTGCAGGCAAGAATAACTATTTGGGGTATTTTTAATGCTGGTATTCATGCACTTTTTTTTTAATATCTTTTTCTAACTTGGTGTTGCTGAAAAACGGAAACTGCCTAAATCAACGATGATATGAATTAGCATTTAGAATTTAAGTAATTGATGTTAATGCACAATATATCGCACACGTTCTTCACAAGTACATTATTAACTTAATTGGACGTGGTCTTAAAAAGTGCTTCCAGGCTTTTTATGAATTTTTCAGAAGGGAAAGAAAAAGTAGTTTCCTTCGCAGAAACCCTATAACAGAAAACTATTTTGTAACAGTAACTAAGCATTTCTCCTTGGCGAAATCCATGTTACTTATCCGTGCTTTTTTCTTTCAAATGTTGGCTATTCCTTGTAAATGGCTTATTAAAATCAACTAAGGAAAGGAGTTAAAATATGTGTAGGTCTACATTGTTTGCTTTTGGGTATCATTTCAAAGTGGAAATGGCAGAACGGATTAAGAGTTGACCTTTCCAAAATGGAATAGCTCTCGCTCTCAATTATTTTTGCAAAATTTGGAATAAAGAGCTCTCAATCTCATGTCGGAATGCCCGCTACAGTTGGGTCTAAGTAACCGGAACGACCCCGATTTATATCTGGCTCAGGATTGTGACTCCAGCATTATCCCCAACAACTTTTGGGGAAATTTGTATGCTGTTACAATAACAACAACAATATCGGAAGCCGAATGTTCGAGAATTATGTATTCTTACAGTTTTCAATCTGAAATTGCTAAAAAGCAAAATTCAGCTCAATACTTTTTAGGGTTCGATTTTGATTTTGCCGACAAAAACCCTTAAAAACTTGTTGCTAGTTTTCTTACTAACTATACAGCTTTTGTTAGCGTCAAAATCTCTAAATGATGTACTTACATCCATATCGATATGTACAACGCCGGTGG